CGTGTTGATGACAGAGCCACAACCTCAACTTACTGCATGCTATGATCTGTTGACAATTTTCCAACCCTTTTTCCTCATCAACTTCCACCTAGTTGTAATTTAGCATCACCTCCACATTACCTGAGCTTTTGTAGAGTTAAGCATTAGCTTCATGGCTTCTCCATCAATCAGAAATACAACGAATTTTCAAAAAGTGGTTTGATTCCAAAAGAATCAGGACGTAGGTGAGCATCAGTCAGGACAGGGAGATGGAAGTTTTCACTGTGATTACATTATTGGAAAGAAATGGGGCAAACAGTCCTAACATTTCATTGGGCTCAGCAACCCGTTTACTAAAAGCGCTGTGTTTAACATACTCTCATATACAATAAGCATGTGGAGACAGAAAACTTCCATCTTTCTCAGTTCTTCTATTCTGTATATTGTTGTTTGTCCTGCCCAACAGCCACCAGTTCCAATAAGAAATAAAGCAAGATGGGAAGATTTGAAATAAACATAATGAAGTACTTGGAACAAAATACATATAGAGCTTCTGAAGGTTGACGTTTTATTCCTAGGAAACTTGTAGGGATTCAAACATTTCCAGGCTATATGGTTCAAATATTAGAATGACTTCTAATCCATAAACAGAACTTGTATAGACACCAGCGCTTGCAACTTCAATGTTTAGGAGCTAAATGTTTTTACTCATATTTTTAATATCCAAATTGTCAAGAGTGAAAGAACCATATCTCTGTAAGTTAAACCTTTAAAAAGATGGACATATCCACTGCATGTGGCTACATATATGCATTTTCACTGTCTCTCGATTTGTGTACTTGAACAGATAGACTGAATTACGGCAAACTGAGCTCATCTGCACATGTATTTGACCTAAGTTACATATGAAGCTACTGATCAGTTGCACAGGATAAGGTGGAGTTAAATCCTTCCATTGCTCTCCTGTAGAAAACTGATCCAGACTATGATATTTTGAAAGCTGAAAATACCCTTTATTTTTTGAAGAAGCAGAACTTATTCACATCATACACCAGTTCAAATCAGAAAAAAATAAAATAAAATAAAATAAAATACAACACAACAAAATCTCTTTAAATCTTCTTTGAAGTCTTTGGAACAGCCAAAACTGTTTTCTTAATGCTAAAGAGGAACAGCAACAAAACTTTATTTTAGATGTTAACTGAATTCACATCAGCAGAACACTGAAAATGAACAATAAACATAGAGCTACACATACATACAAAATAAATACTTCTAGCGGGATCAATATTTTATAAGTATCTTTAAGAAGCTGTATCTTCATTCATGCCACCATAAAAAGATGCTCAATTTTATAGACTGAACAGCCAATACACTGTATAATCCTACATACAGTCGTTGAAATATATGATAAACTGGAGGGGAGGAAAGATTTGGCATCCATCTGCAATTTTTCCAATAATTCTTTTTTTCTTTCTTTTTTTCTTTCACTTGTAAAAGGAGTTTGGTTACAGCTTGAAGATAGGAAAACTATTTATGAACTTAAGCATGGCGCTAGTCACAATTCAAGTTTGCACGAGTAACAGAAAATTATTGCCAAAATTGTCCCTCATGTGGACATTCCTTCATAAATCAAGCTCTTGTCCCCTATAAACTGCCAGAGAACCTCCTATGTTTCCCCCGACTCTAGCTTTTAATCCACGCTGTCTTATTTGATATTTGCATATTCATACTCCGACAGAACAAATATATGGAATACAATTTCAGAAAATTCTCTCTAGTGTACGTGAAAAACAACAAAAGGAACGCGATAATTAACTTGCTACTTCACTCATTAGGAATTTTGCTTGGAAAAGTTCAGATGGAAATCTCTTATTCTCTAACAAGCATTGGAGAATTGACTATAGCACTGCAAGAGCTCGACAAACAGCCCTTTGCAAAGAAAAGCTACATTTGCCTACATTTTGTTCCATTTGCTAGTGTGCCAGTTCATAGGGTTTTTTTACATGAATTATTAATGAGTCGCTGTGAATAGAGAAGAGAAATGGGAAATAAAACAAGTAAAAATAAGCCTTTTGAATTTTTTTTCCATCCCCTCAAGGTCTAACAAAAATTCAGCTAGGAGACCTTAACAGACCAGGGACAAGGACATGTGGGTAGCAGCCAGAATTTTTTGGCTTTATTTGCTTGGGTATTCCAAGGGTCTTGTAAACAACTTAGAGTTTACAAGTCTTGTAGTTTGCAGATCTGCTAAGTCATCTCACGAAAAGGAAGGTGTAAAATGAACCCTAACACCCGCAATCTGTCTGTTTAATCATCCTGCCCATTAACTGATTAGAAAAAGTTCCCGATAGCATGGCCCCCATTGGGCAGAGGCCAATTATGCAGAGCAGAAAAATATTGTGAAAATAAGCTGTGCAAGTAATCTCTGTCAATGGCTGACATATTTTAGTTTCTGCAGAGCCAGCAAAAAATGTGCACTGACCAATTTTGTTGAACACATAATTCTCACAACAGCGATTTTGTGAAAAACAGGGAAAGGCTGAACTTGCAGACTGCTTGCACACATATTTGTATACGTATATATGTATTTATGTACATAAGGGGATGCTGTGTATTTATAAAAATCAAAACGCCATCTCATCAGCACTGACCTACTGTCATTTAGAACGTCATGCTTCCAACTAAAAGCTCTGTAAACTATACAAAGATTTCTACCATTCTGATTGTCATATTTGTGTAGTCTTTTAATGTTCTTCTTATGTATCAAAGAACAAGACAATCAATCAAATTATCTGCCAAAATTAATATCTAGATACTTCTGAATAGAGAGGTTGTAGAAAGATCTCAACTAGACTTTGAGAGCTACTCTTTTGCACCCTGGATGGGGACCGCACAGAAAAATAAACATGTACACAATAAAACTTGTCCGTACTTGCTCAAAGTCAAGGATTCTGAAATGTGTGGTGAACGTTAGTAACTCAACAAATCAGATTCAGAAGTTGTGTTCCATCTACAGAGTTATTTATTTGAAAACAAAATGTTTCTCTTGCCTGACATACATACTTCAGTATTCAAAAGATCAAAGCAAAGTCGTCACAAGTCTATCAGTCCCAGTCTTGGTAGTGCCTTCAGTTTGATTGCTTGGAGAGCAAGAACAAAATGCATTACAGTGAAGTGGAAATGAATTCACTGCAAAGTGGTATGCAGTTTACCAAACTTCCATCCACTCTTAGCTTGTTCATGAAAACTTTCTGGAATTTTACTTCATGTTAAAAAGGCTTGAAAAACACTCCAGGCAGCAGCAGATCTCTGCATTTGTTCTGGTGGAGCTGAAAAACCTCATCTGTTCAGTCTCGTCTTTGAGCTAAGTTCCTGATTATCTTACATGCTTGCCTCTGTGTATTTTGCATCAATAACACAGCAACAATTCCACAAATTTTGTGTTACTTTTCTTTTAAATACTACAACTCTTCAAACTACTGTGGTTACCCAGTGAAAAACACTTCCCCTCAAATTCATAGGCAACCACCTCAAAACAATGGCAGCTGTAGCTTGTTCAAAATTCAATCTCATCTATTCTTTGTAAGTGTGAATACTCCAAAAGCTTTTCACAAGAGACACTTATAGGGCTGGATTCAGCCATCTGCAAAGTACTACATATTTTCTCAGTAAGTTTTCTAACAAAAAAAAAATTACAGATAGGAAACCAGAGTTCCGATATGTTGGATGGAATAGAAGAAAAAAAATGCAAAAAAGTATTTCTAGCTTAAAATGTGTCTGAAGTGATCCCCACAACTCCATAAACCTATAAAATAAAATAGTCTTTTCTTGAGAAATCTTAAAGTTGCATACATTTCAAAAGCGCTTCTCAAAGATGAAGGAAAAGGAGTTTCTACTGTCTGTTTACATCTCACACCCACATCTGTGCATACAAAACAATATATAAAAGGCACTTAAGTATCACAAAGGGACATAGCTTGTTGAATGTAGACAAACAGAAGGCATACTCACCGCAGAGAATGTTATTCTACTTAAAGCCCTCCTGAAACGATCTCCACAAACTACCAGAACTGATGCCACATATGGTTGCGAGATGCTTCTCTGATCTCCAGAGAACATTTTACTAAAATTTCACTGCAGTCTCCAAAGCACTTTAGAGCAGCAACTGTGTGTTTGTTAAGCACACTTAGTGCTTACTCTTCCAGAGGAATTTAATACAAGCACAAATGTGGCCTACCCGTATCTCGCTGTTGCTGACTCCCCCAGACACAGGCCTATGTCCTGGTCTTCCGTGGATCTACATTCAGTTTTCTTGCTCTTTTGAACTCCTAAGCTACAAAGATGTGCGAATGTACATGTCTCCTAAAATGAGTGTGACTTCTGAAGATTTGGGCACACCAAAACAGCCTCACTTTCTGTCCAAGCAGGGCCAACACGTACGTCATCACAAATCAATATATAAAAGCATTTTCATTTTACTGTGTCCAGAGAACACAATCACTGGGGTAAAGACACAAAGGGAAGGATTCTATCCCTTGTATCTTGACGTATGTTCCTGTATACTCAGCCCGCTGGCTCTGCCACACACTACCTCCAACCACCAACGTCCTGTTGTGAGCAACGTGGCTCTAACTTAATCTGAATTCACTGAGATAATCTCTTGTGCTGATTACTGAAAGTAACTACATTTTCATTTTAGTATCAAATATCTCCCTTTAAATCCCAGGGAATACTGCCCAAGTGCGGGCTAAGATTTTGTTTATGGCTCAAAGCACTGGCCTCACTGCCAGCAGTGACCTTCCTCCCCACCCACCAGAGGACATCTTTGCAACAAGGGCTGTCAGACTGGACCAGTCCTATGGCCCCAGCCCATCACTAACTGCAACTAGAGGGATGGACGTGGTTGAGATTCAACATACCCCCCTGCAAACACAGGGCTGGGGAATTTACCATGCAGCTCTTCCCTCACCTTAAAAATGTTTTAAAAGAGTGCCTCATCAAATAAAATCCTGCCTTACCTGTAAATGGGAGCTGCGCCTGCAAGGTGACAAAGACAGCAATCCTCTTCCACTTCATCTTGCTCCAGCAGGCCGTGCTGGGGTGCGTAGTACAGAATGATGGGGAAGGAAGGCACCTCCACGGGCTGGTATCTTCTGCTTGCCTCCGCAGGAAGCACTGCTTCTATAAGGCCTTTCAGAGTCCACCTGCTGGCAGCCACCCCAAAACGCATGCATCTTCCTCTCCCTCGCAGCTTCTGAGGTCTGGGTTTTACATTCTTGGTATTGATGCCTCAGCTTGGCATTTTCTTTTGTATTCTTCTTTTCACAAGACTTTTTAAAAACTCTGATGGTTGCTAGGGCCGCTCTGCAATTCAGCAGCTCTCAGAGGGTTCTAGAAAGTGTGCACAAATTCAGTCCAGCTTCAAAAGCAACACAACTGTGCCCAGTGTGCATTATAAACAGCAGCCACTGTCAGTGAGGTAGCTTAATTACACTTGTAAAGGCACCAACCTCATTTTAAAGCTCTGATTAAAATACAGACTTCACATTAGCCGCTGAAAATTGTTGCACTCTCAGGGCTAGACAACAGCCTGCAACACAGTAGAACTGGATTCCATATGCCTTTACAGTGTCCACAAGACATGAAGCACTGGCACAGCTGGCATTGCCTGCCTCATTCAGCTGTATGTAACTGAACAGAGGAATCTTTTGATGTGAACATACCACATCTTTGTATTGTGAGAAAAACTGTGTGTGCAGTACTCTGGAGCCATTTTGTCCTCAGAGGCAGAGCAGCCTGCAGAGTGGAGCACCGGGCTGTCTCTGTGAGAGAGCACAGCATGCATCTCCTCTGCGAGGTCTGACACAGGAAATTGGGCACCACACCTACAGACTAAGCAGGGCATGGGATTCAGCCTTCTGCTGCTCAAAGCTGTTCTCTAGTGAGATACTGCAATGGATCACCACAGATCACAGAATCACACAGAATGGCCCAGGTTGGAAAGGACCTCGAGGATCATGAATCTCCAACCCTCCTGCCACATGCAGGGCCACCAACCTCCCCATTTATTACTAGACCAGGCTGCCCAGGGTCCCATCCAACCTGGCCTTGAACACCTCCAGGGACGGGGCATCCACAACCTCTGTAGGCAGCCTGTTCCAGCACCTCACCACTCTCACAGTAAAGAACTTTGATTGTGCATGGTTAGAAACAATCTGGATGCATCCTTGAATTTACAGGAATTTTCAGCCCCATACTGCAGGCATTGATACAGCACCCAGAGCAACACAAAACAGAGCAGCTCTGCACAGCTACAGTGCTTGTGAATCTTCATTTCATGCAAGTCCACATTCTACATCCAGTGCAATTGCTGTGGCATCCTCCACATTTTCCTAAACCTCTTTTGCTCTCTGGGCCATTTCATACCTTCAGCCCTCCCTCTGTGGGGCCAGGTGGCCAGGCTCACTGCTGTGGTTTATGTGGCTCATTTGAAGCACATGTGCACGTGCTGACTGACTTACCCAGCAGTCCCATGTGAAAGTGAAAATGCCCTCATTTCTTAGCCCTGCTCTGAAGGTACTAATAAGATCTTTGTGGGTGCCTGCACAAAACTACAGGTAGGAGCAGGTTGTGTTTGAGTCTCCTTTGTTTTCCTGGGTAGATGTTAACCCCCCAGGTCACAAGTTGTTGAGGAGAGGTGGTGGTGAGAGGCAGACTGAGTCAGGAGAGTCATAATGCTTGTTTCTTTACAGAACTAAGCTTGTGATCACATCTAACAGTATTAAAGCAATGTTCAGTAGGCAGGGGTGGAAGCCACACAGGTAACAGAAAAAGCACACTTAAACATTAACCTGGCAAATATCACTCTGGAGAATGCACTGTGCTATGAGCTGACAAGACACAAGAAAATGATTTAACAATATTATTTTGTTATGCTTTTACTTGAGGACCTCAATGTACTTCTGAAATTAGTGTTACAAAGCTGAAGGAGTTAAGCTTTTACAGATGAAGAGAGGAATTGAAAGGTTCTTGTTAGAATTTTAAAACTTGGAGGTTTTGGATTGAAAGAACTATAGCTAGGGATATTTCTTTCTTAATATATAGTTATTATTCTGAACAATAAGAAGCTAAGAAAAAAAAAGGGGGGGGGGGGGGGATAAATTAAAAAAAAAAGAGGAAAGGAAAAAACCA